AAGTACATTACGGAGGTGCTAGAAGACCATATTATGCCTTTCATAGTGACTATGGGGGAACGTGGCATTTTTATGCAAGATAATGCGAGACCACATACATCCAGAATTGTCAGGGAGTATCTGGATGAGGTAGAAATTAGGCTGTTTGACTGGCCAGCCAGCAGCCCAGACATGAATCCTATAGAACATGTCTGGGACGAGTTGGGACGACGGATCCGCAGACATACCAGCACCAAGAACTGCCCAGGAGCTGAGAAGGTTGCTGTTGCAGGAATGGGATAACATCGATCAGAATGTGATCCACAATTTAAGTATGCCGCGCCGACTTCAAGCAGTCATCAATGCAAGAGGAGGGAATACACGTTATTAGTGTCAAGTTTTTTCATTTTGTTCGTTCCATATTTTCCCTAACAACAAAATGTTGAATTTCGCCCAAAATGTTAATTTGTTGCTTTTTCAAAATAAATCATGAAATCCAAGAAAAAAATGCATATCTGTTTAGTATAGAATATCACATCCAGCTTACAAAAGCACATGCAATGATGTACAGTTCGAATACGATCTGAAAACGTAAAATTTCAAAGAACATGAAAATTTTAAGGTGACCTCAATTTTTTGCTCGCCAGTGTAATTTCAAAAAAACTACTGTGGCTGGGTCATTTAGGAAGGATAACCGCCCAAAAATTAGCATGTAGACGACTCTTTTATAAAAAGAAGAGATGGCGACGGAGGAAATTGTAGAAAGAAATGGTGAAATTTGACCTAAAAAAAAGTGAAAATAAACTGGAGGGAGAGAGTTAAAGCAATGCCAGAAACATAACGTAAACGAATCTAATGACAGCTACGCATGCGCAATAGCTATTTTTCCCACGTATTTATTTACGTCTTACGTAAATAAACGTACGTGTTCTTACGTACGCCTAATACGCATTCGTATTTATGTACGTGTTACGTAAACGTACGTGTTCTGACGTACGCCTAAGACGCATTCGCATCGAGCCGAGCAAATGCTTCGGGAGCATCCAATCGCACCCGATTTAATAAAACTAATGACAGATTGTAACTTTATATTGTTCTGTTTTTTAAATTTTGAGCCATAATACGAAACGAGTTTTATATATAACATACACTTCACATTTATTCCTAGAAAATTCATTGAAAAAAATGAATTAATAAAAATTACCGGACATTGATACTCGATCATTTGTTATGTCGCTTATTAAAATTGAATCTCCCATATAAAACAACTATTTTCCAAATTTTCTTTGTTATGTAGAATTTGTAATTTAAAGCTCTTTAATTTATAATTTACCCAATATAACTATCTACTTTTCTCAAAAAGGTTATAAAGTTGTAGATACGTTTACGTCAGTGTTTTTGCTTTAACTATTGTTTTCTTCCAGATTGCTCGTTTAACGTATCGTCAATTTTCACGTTTGCGTCAAAAAGATACGCATACGTATCTAGCGTTGCTTTATCTCTCTAAAAACTACCATTAAGAATGCAAATATACTTCCATGATATATTTTTTTATACGTTTTAGAGTCTTTTGTTTAGTACAATTCGAATTATAACCATAATCTTTGTACCTATGTACTGTCCCGTAATTATTTTGTCAACCATATGGATAACACCGTGAATGTTTGCAATTTAGCCTTTTGTAAATAAAATTGATCACATTTGAGTTGAAATTATTTTCCTGTTGTAGAATTGATCCAGTAGTTGTAGTACATCGTTGTACACACTGTTTCCAGTTTTTAGAATTGTTCTAAAATCAGTAAAATTTTGTTTAGCAATAGAGAGGTAAAAAATAATCAAAGTACCTATATTTATTATTGTTTTTATTAAATAACCCTTTAATTATATTACAACTAAAATCTAACATTATTAAGCGATTTTACCAATTTTAAATTTAATGCTAAGACGTACATTTTTAACTAAATTAACTAAAAGGACTGAGTCGCAGAATTTAAATTTGACCATTGAGTGACGTCTAAGCATGTTATGTTGGGAATGGGGTGTTAATACACTGCGACCTAAAAGATCTATTGTGCCCCCTTCTGTTGCCAATGCACCAAGGAAATGTCTCAATGCCTATAACGCCCCTTCCAATCCTATTTTCTCTAGGAAGTGTAGGATTTGAAGTGGCTTTAAGTTAGGTAAATCCTCCTTTTCTATTTGATATCCTCCTAGATATAGTATCCTTGGATTCTGGAGTGCTACACATTCAGTTAGGATGTTAATGGAGGTTTCGTTCTCCTCCTCACGGAATCTGCACTCACTATCCTCTACTACTCTCAGGTGTCCTTTTAGTCGGCAATGCCCGGTAAGGATCCCTGTTACAATACGTAGCCTGTTCTTGCTCAGGCAGATGCAGGCTTCTGATCTTTTCTGGTTATATTCACCCAGAAGTATCTTGGCCTGTCTCAGCCCCAAGAGATTGTTCCAATTATCGGTTCTTCTACTGCCCAATTCTTTTTTAATCTCTCCTAATATTATGTTACTGCTGATACCGCAGAACGGCTCAGGTCCTACAAAGGGTGTTTGAGCCCCTTTCCTTGCAAGACTATCTGCAATCTCGTTACCCTGTACCCGTTATGCCCCGGGACCCAAGTGAGAGTGACTTTATTTTTCTCGCCTAGCTCATTCAGTTGTTCTAGAACATCTCCAGACCATTTTTGAGCTGATTACGTAAGAGCGGGGATTTACTTTGATGGCTGCTTGACTATTGGACATAATGATAATCTCTTGTCTATGATCGTTTCTCTCGATGTTAAACTGGATACACTTCTCAATTGGGTGAATTTCCGCCTGGAAGATGCTTGGGTATTTTCCCAAGCTTTCGGAGTGCTTGGTTCTCGGCCCATACACTCCTATTCCCGTTCCTTCTATTGTTTTGGAACCGTCCGTATACCACTGAATAGCACGTCTCTCGGTTGCAAGTGCGATGGAATCTTGGCTCCATTCTTTCTTGCAGCCCAGCTCTGTGGTTTTGAAGTTTTTCACAAAACTGTACTTCTTTAGCATTTCATCCTGGGGCATGTCCCAGGTATCTTTAGTCCTAAAGCAAGTAGACTTTCGTCTGCTTACTCCGTTCCTGATCATTCTATATGGTGTCCTTTTTGCTACATTCTCTATCATCAAATGTAGAGGGGTGGTCTATGCATGGTGTCAACAAGTGCCTGGCACTCTTCTGGTTTAAAACCGCTCCAGATATTCTAAACACGTTTTTGCAGGATGCGTCCGTAATTTATTTTTTACTTTTATGTTAGAACGTTTCAATTTTCAATAAATCTGGACTACTAGATATCCATCAAAAGCTACTTTTATAACTGTTTGAAAGGTAAACTGCATACCAGTATTTCTACATTTTTAATTGTAAGCTTTAGACGGGTCTGTGATATGTCGATTTACTTCTCACCAAGTGAAATCTGCCCACTGCTTTTGTCGACATGGGTCCCTGTACCATTATAGATTCAGAAAACTTAACTTTCTTCTTTAAACAATCATTGTAGTATGCCTCTTTTTTAGTTCTTTAAATCTTTCTGCGAATATTACCTATGCAAACTTTAAATCTGGATTCGTCTTTACAATGTTCTGCATTCCATTAATCTTTTGTTGCCCAGCACAGTATATTCTTCTTTTACTGGACCGTTAACAAAGGTTTTTCTTTTGTGAGTAAAATAAGTCTGTTTTTAGTGTTCATATGAAATAAAAGTAAACTGAATAGATTTATTTAGGACTGTAGGCCATTGGGCTTCCCCATTTCGACCATTTTAGATCTATTGTGGATATCCTTTAATCCTTGTTTAGAGTACCTTGTCTAATTCAGTCTTTTGTAGTAGACTCCATAGACTGGGAAGTAGTTCTCCGGTATAGCTAGTTGCCCTTGGTTTTTCTTCTCTAAGTGTAAGGAATCTGTCTTATTTTATTTATTGTTTCGGCCTTTACTTGATGAAAATCCATTTAATTTTGAAAGAGTAAAACCAAATTTGGTAGATTTTCACACTTTTAAAAGTGTGAAAATCTACCAAATTTGGTTTTACTCTTTCAAAATCTCAGTCTTGCTAGACCTTCGCAGTAGCACAATAAAAAACTAAAAATCTACCTTGAATGATATGTTCTACTGTAACTTTAATTGTTAAACTTTATTTATGGGGGTTACTTAAAATCAAGATAATATGGGGCGAAAAAATCTTTTATGTATAGTTGGATCCTAAACTCTAACCACAATCGCATCTGAACTCTGACACTTATACCAACATTGCTTACCAGTGTTTTATTTTTCGAAGAAATATACGTCTAAGATTAAAAGGAAGATTCAATAGTTGTTCATAAAAAAAATAATAAAATGTAGGCAGGCAGCAGTATTTACGGGAAAATGTATAAGAAGTTGCCTAAGTCTAAAAGGTTGTCTGGGTTGTCTTTGAAGAATTAACCTATTCTGTCAAAATAAGAAAATACCATTAAATAATAGCGTGAAGTTAAAATTACTGTTATTACAAAAATAAAGATAATTTTTCTTCTTATTGTACACCTATATCCATTTATTTCTTTGATTTAATTTCCACTTTGCTACTGAATTGAATTTTTTTTATAATTTTCTCTGTTTTTTTGTACAATTTTCACCACAGCAACTCCGGTTGCTTATTGTATTGTGTTTACCTACTTTAAAAAAAAAGTAAAATGTATGCGTGTATTTGATATGCTAAAATGACAAAATATCGCCCTAAAATGCATAAATTAACCGCAGTTAGCGCTAGTAACGCTCTTGCTTTCCCTACCATGACTTCGCACTGAGCGAATAAAGAACACTGTGAAAACTCCAGAATTTAATTACATTTTCAGAAATGATTATTTTTAGCTCTAACAGATTAATTTTTCAATTTTTTTCTGCACTGTATTCAATATATTTTACAAAATTCATTGTTTTTTAAGTCTTTGAACTGTCTGTTAAACAAAATCTGTATAATTTTGTAGATGTGAGCTATTTATTTCAGGACCACAACTGCCGATCAGAAGACGTTGAACTGGCCCGAGAGTTGGACACGAAAGCCGCCGCCGCCTGGGTAGGCCACCCCTATTTCGACGTCATCGACAACTCGACGGACTTCGAGGGCAAAATCAGAAGGATGATCGTATCTGTGTGCCACAAGATCGGCCTCGACACCGGCGACAGACTGCTGAAGAACTCTCGGAAACATAAGTTCCTGGTGGAGGGACCTTTACCGGACGACTCCGTGTTTCCCCCATTCCAAGATTTCGAGGTCGTTCACAATTATTTGCAATCTAACTCGCCCAATCAAGTGAGGTTGAGGAAGAGAGGACAGAAAGGTGAGAAGATCAAATTGTTTAAGGTTCGGTACCTGTAGGAGGAGAGGAACTGGGCTAAACTAGATTCTTTGTTTGATAATGGGTTTTATTATAAAATAATGTCATTTTCCTTGGGATTTTATTACTAATATTTATATAATCTAGTCGTGATTTTTTTTTAATTCGTATAAAATATAACAGTTTTTTACTAAAGTTTCTTAAATATCAGCTTGATGTCGAACGTACATTAAAATTTACTAGTCTGAAATTTATATTATTTAGACAGATTACAATCTTAAGCTCTGACAAAGTTTATAAGGCTCATAAATTTTAATGGATATTCCTACAACCTGCTGTAAATGTTCTTAAGTATTGCGAGGAAATCATGAAGGCATTTAGCCAGTAAATATCGTCCATTGTTCACTTCTATTCTAAAAACCCAAAACACTAATTTTAAATATTTTTTTATCGTTAGATTTAACTTTAAATATTTGAGATATATGACAGGTTTCAAGTTTTACATGATTGTTTTTAATAATTAAAATATATTTTTCATACTCATTGATCAAACATAGATTCTTAGTTGCTAAAACTATCTTATCTTGGCGCAAATTATTTATAATGCCCATTAGACAAACTTATATTTGTTGTTTATAAGAAATTATTTCTTACTGTCTTTCTTGTTTCTGTTTTAAGAAAAATTGTGGAATATTTTTTTTTGTATAAAATATATGAGGAACTGCGTTTCGGTAGATTTTCTTTTAACTTGTGTTTTTACTAACATGTCCCAAATCACTGATTAATGTAAAAATAATGTTAAAAATATAGTTCTTTTAAATATGAACAGTTAAATGAATTGGGTATATTTTTACCTTCCAATTTTATAACATTTCTCAATACTTTACTTTGAAATTATATTAAAATAAACTGCGATTATACACGATATCTACGAATATTAGGGCTGGGCCGATATCACTTCTCGGATACCGCTACCTCTCCGGTCGATACCAATACTTTATCTGAAATTGAGATAAAAACATTTAAAAATATTTTTTTATGCTCAAAACGCAAATTATAAAGAAACAGTCAAGATAAAAGTACATTTAAATTAAGTCAAATTATTTTTGAAAAATATTAGTTGCTGAACATTTTCAGATGTAAGGGATATTCTGGTTATTTTTATATTTTTATAGGGCCGTCTTTAGAGAAAATTTGCGCAGAAAAGTCAGACCCAGTTGGTATTGATAAATAACGAAATTCCAATGTTTTCAATTTTGGAAATCTAGGTTCATTTTTCCACTAGGATAAAGGTGGGGAAGCCATTTTTCCAAATATTAGCTTTATTTTTTCCTAAAAAATATTGGAAATCCTGCAAATCAAAGCCTCTAGAATGCAGAACAAAACGTGTATTACAAAAATTCAAAAATTAAAAAATTCGAAAATAAAATAAACTAATTTTTTAAAAACTCTGCAGTGACCGTCATTACCCAACACGATAAGGTAATGGCGGCCTGTGACGCAATTACCCGCACTGAGTTGTAAAAACAAGATGGCGTCCCTCCCATTGAAGGCCCCAAAATATTGTTACGCAGGCTTTTGGTATCTGAATTTATTTCAATTCAACTTTAACAATAATTATACAACTGATAACATTAAAATATAACGTCTATCATAAAACTGAATTCTGACGTCAGGTCGTCGACTTATATAGCTTGCCTCGACCTTCTAAAACCTTCTCGAACAATCCGGACTTTTTTTTGACAAGGAATGACATTTCGAGACATTTCTGGACTATTCTATCTTCTTCATTTACTCGTACCTTTACTTATGACTTTCAAGGGTGATTTCTTCTTTGTCGCCCTCTGGCTTGATGGTGGTTGCCCGAAGAGTAACGTTATCAACCGGTTCTTCTCGTTCTTCGAGCCTTTTACCATACCAGCATCGTTCCTCTAAACGAGGTTGCCCGAAGAGAATGTCTGCATTGCTATGGAGACCTCTTCGATGCTCTACTTTTTGGTTATTGTTAGAAAACCGGCTCGGTGTGGGTGATTGGCTTCTTCGGGACGCATAGCTGCTGTAATTAATTCTTGTTGGTCTTAGTGATGGGCTTGGAAAGATTGATCTATATGATTTTTTGGTCTCATTCGCTGATTCTCGATTTATAGACTGAGCCATGCTTCTACAGGTTCTTTGAAGATGCCCGATTTTTCCTGTTTCCATTCTGTCTATTTCGTTGCATATTTCGAGGGATATTTAAGATTTGGGGAATAGCATTAGTATTGGCCTCCTCACTTTCTTGGGATTTAATTTCCCTCGCTTTTGCGCGAGAAGATCTGGATAGGAGTTTTACCGCTTCATATTCCTGGGCTGCAATCAGTTTCTCCCTCAGCATCTTGTGATGTTGTAGACGAACGACTTGCTGCATTTCCACATCTTGTAGTCCATCAATGAATGCTTGTATTCCGAGTTGTTCTTGGAAATCTTTCGGCCCCTGTGAATAGGCCAGATGAATCAACCTTATGTCAGCCTCGATTCCTTCCAAAGCTTGGACGAGAGATGAATAACTGGGTTCTTCTTGGGGAGTAACTGTAAAACGGTTGCTGCCTGACCTCGCAGTGAAACTATCAATGAAGTCGCCATCTCATTCTCGGTCCAGCTATTGACTCTAGCTGCAGCTTCAAATTGGAGTCGATATGTTTCCCATGTTGTCTGACCGTCAAACGTAGGTGGTTTAAGGGTTTTGCTACTATGGTTTTGTGAGACAGGGGTTTGAATATGGCTTGGGGCGTTTATAGATGAAGACGAGGTAGTGTTTTCAGCTTCAATGTTGCTTACTGAAGTTTGGCTACGAATTATTCTTTCTAACTCTACCATTTCAGCTCTAATTTGCCTTTCTAATTCTACTCTTATGCTTTAACCAATATTTATGGCATTTAATGCGGATTCCATTTATTTTGATGACCATATGTGTACTAGGCAAGTGTCGGTATCGGCCCAGCCCTTCCGAAAATAATATGTTCCTTTCTGAAAACACGATTTTTATTCCAAGGAGCACCTTTCTATAACTAGATCAAAAATACGACTTAAAAAATATTACTGGGTATATGCTATGGTTTGTTACATGAATATATTTATAGAATTTTTTAAATACGCTGAGTTACGAGGGTAACTCCAAGAATTCAACTTTAAAATAAAAAAGGGCATTAACACATTGAGGTATTTTTTTTTCTATTCATTTAAAATAATAATTTAGCGTTTTGATTTCCAACAATATTATTGATTTAAAAAAAATGTATACCATTATTTATCGATTTTAAATATTCTAAATATGTATGTTTATGCAATGAATTTTTCTAATATATTTTTGTTGTAATTTCTTGTGCTTTTTTAGTTTCTTTTTGGCGATATCCAAAACTCGTAAGTCTTATAAAAAAATAATTGAATGTGATATTTCAAATAACTAACCCACTCTTAGCCAACAAAGTGCGCTACACCTTAAAATATAATATTTACAACCGATTGTTTTTATTTTTCATGAGCAGGAGAATATTCTGTACTAATTATCAAACTCAATCAATTTGCAGGTCACTACAGTTATATCCACACGGTAAGGAGACAGAATCAACCGGGAGGGCAGGTGATAGAAGTCAAGACTCAAATCGCCCATCGAGACTACATTAATTTATTGACGCAAAAGGATAATTCGCATTTTACCATCTACAAGAGGCGCAGGTGCTTTATAGAGAATAATCAGTATTTCCAGTTGGATATATACGAACAGCCAAGCCATCCAAGGTAAATTAATTATTTAGTATACTAATACAGGGTGTCCCAATGAAAAGTAGCCCATTTCCAGGGCTTTTAAATACCTAATGTGTTATTTTGCTATAATATTAGCTTCAGTGACACAGAAATTATGTATTACCTATACAGGGTGTTTTATAAAAATCTCTTTTAAATTCACCGTAAAAAGTTATAATCTCTGGAAACGGGCTAATTTTCATTGGGACACCCTGTATAATAGTTACGAGAATTTAATTTAAAATAGGTATATAATTTGATGTAAGGGGGTTTTTTAATAATGCCTGATAAGAATCCTAAATCTAAATGGCTTTTATCTGTTTAATATTTTTAAAAATAGCTGATTGAAATCAAATCTGATTATTTCAAAATAATATGAAATATCTTTATTGAAGTAGGTAAGTCTAATATACAAACAATTTTGAAATATTACCCTTAACAATTTAAAATGTCAAAAAATAAAAAAAATTAAATCCAAAATCTTAAAGGAGAATGGGCAGAATGCCCCCCTCCCAATAGGAATAAGCTATATGCTAAATGAAAGATATCAGCAAGGATAACATTTGTTTTCATTATGACTTCTTTCAATTATCTGTCCGTTCCAGAGATAACAGAGATATAGCCATTCATTGATAAAATATAATATTCACAATGCCAAGATTAAGTCGACAATTATAACACTGTATTTGTAGGTGAGAGGTGAGAAGTAAGAAAGGGGATAAAGAGGAGAAGTTTACGCAGGTACAACTTTATTGAATGAATAAATGTGTAATCCGCTGTGCGCTTATATAGTGGACTGAAAAACGGGAAAAAAGGTTTCAATTTTTTCTTTAAGGTACAACTACATGTGGTCTTTACAAAATAATAGTCTAGGTTCCCGGCCATCTGAAATCGTCAATTAAAACAAAGACTATTTGTTAGCAACTGAATCAAGTTATCGCCAAATTTTTCAGGAATAGACAGGTCGCATTATGCGTATGCGGGACTCGCAAGATGTCTGCTCGTTATAAAGCACAATAATTAAACCAGGCTGCAGAAACTTTCAAGTTTGCGTATTTACTCGTATTGCTCAAAAACTATGATACTTATAATAGCGATTCTTGTTTTAAAAACTTTCTTGAAGCTTTAGCTTTATTTGGTACGCAGATAGTTTAGTGAAATTTTGAAAAATAAAAGTTTCTCGATTACTGAAAATAGTGTTGCAAAAAAGTAAAGATTAAAGTTTTGTCTAGTTTTACAAAAAAAAAAACTAGGTTTTCTATACTAATGAAACTAACGCAGTAATCTCCGCTTACGTTTCTTCTGCCGATTAAAAAAAAAAGTTGAAAATATCTTGTTTAGTTCCGGATATCGCGAGGTATGTGTGAAAAAGTAATAAAACATAATTTTGACAAATTTCGCAATAAAAAATGTTGTCCCTATTAAAAAAATTTGTAATTGCCGATTTCAGATGGCCAGGGACCTAGACTATTATTTTGTAAAGACCACATGTGGTTGTACCTTAAAAAAAAAATTTAAACCTTTTTGTCCCTTTTTCAGTCTACTAATAATAAACTACGTAAATATCCATGCCGGTGTAAGCCCTGTTGCCACTTCCAACCTAACATGACTAGGTTTTGGAATTTATTGAAAGTTATTACATCTAATTTAGTGAAATTGCATCTAATTTAGTTAAATTTGATATAATTAATGATTCAAAATTTTTTGGGTTCAGTTGCAATAAAATAGGTTGAATTATTTTAGCTTTTTTAATATATGTAAATAATTTTGTAAACAAAACGAGAATAATGAAATAAGGATATGACAACAGCGGCTATTATACCCGCCTGTGTCCCTTAGAATATGTCTTATTCAGGACCGCACAATATTTGTTAAATCTCCTGGTATCTCTGGTCCGTTCCGAGTTATAGTGCATGTGACATAACAAAGGTTTTTTGTTGAAAACCGAATCTATAATATGGAAGTTCTTTACTAGTGGTTTTTGACATAAATTCTCCCTCCCCCCCTCCCACGCTTGTCATGGTAACGACTAAACAAAAATCCAAATCCCGTGGTGAGGAAATAGTTATCAAGTTATAGATAATTTCATTTTTAGTTTAGTTGAAATCAGTTGTGGGTTAACTGTTGCCATGGAAACATTTTTCATAGTAACGGTAAGGACTAAACAAAAATCCAAATCCTGTGGTGAGGAAATTCGTAGTTACCAAGTTATATGATTTAATTTAACTTTAGTTTAGCCGAAATCAGTAATTATGGGAAAACTGTTGCCTTAGGGACGCTTGTCATGGTAACCACTAAACAAAAACCCAAATTAGTTGATGAGGAATCGCGTAATTGTCAAGTTATAGATGATTTAATTTAGCTGAAATCAGTTGTGGAGAAACGTTTTCCATAGGGTTACTACTCATGGTAACGAGTAAATAAAAATCCAAATTCCATGGTGAGGAAATGTGTAGTTGCCAAATTATAGATGATTTAATTTCACTATAGTTCAGCTGCAACCAGTTATGGAGAAACTGTAGCCATATGGACCGTTGTCATGGTAACGACTAAACAAAAATCCAAATTCGGTGTTGCCAACTTATAGATAATTTAACTTTAGCTGAAATCAGTTGCAGAGAAACAGTTGCCATGGTAACAACTAAACAAAAACTCAAATGCATAGTTGTCAAGTTATAGATGATATAATCTAACTTTAGTTTACCTGAAAGGCATTTTTTTTCATGCAAGTCACTTACTAACTTACAATGAGAGATACTTTTCTACCTATTGTAATGAAGTCAATTTTTCCTTAATCACTTTATTTTAATTTATCATTTTTAATAAATAATATACGCGCTCAAACTGCTTGTCTTACTCTAAAACAGCTGCACACCGCCGATCGAAATATCGATGCGCGGTAATACTGGTCGTAGGGTGGGAATTTATCTCGCTTTCGTCGCGAATTAAAAGGATTTGAAGAGACACTTGATTTCAGGCAGTTAAAAGTTAAAGCCGCATTTTCAATTAGGTCCGCCGTTGATAAATTTTTCGTATCGTGTTTATAAATTCGTTAGGTAAAAAAATCTTATTTCAGTTTTTATAGAAGAATGGTTTTATATTGAGACCGCATTTAGTTTAATTTAAAAACCGAATTATCTTTTGGAAATAGGAACATTTTAATTCATTGTTGAGTTCAAAGATTATTTGATTTCATTAATAAATATTAGAATTTATTTGTTGGCAAATATAATACCGTTTTTAAAGATATTGTTGTAAAAAGATTTAAGGAACGTAACTTTTCTTTTTGTTAGTCTCAGACCGGTAATTTAATTTGATTTAGTTAATAAATATTAGAAATTAGTTCTTTAAAAATAGAATATCGTTTCTTTAAAGGTAATTGAATTTGATTTAAATAATAAATGATAGGATTTAGTTCTTTAAAATTGTAATACCGTTGATTTAGACATTTGATAGTGGGTCTTACCTAAGAAATTAAAATTTTCTTTTTGGTAGGTTAAATCGGGAATTAAATTTGATTTCATTGATAAATACTTTTGTTTAGTAATGCCGTGTTATAAATAAGTTGGCAATATTTAGAAACGGAATTTTCGAGGAGACGTTTTCCCTCTTTTAATAGTTTGTTTATTCTTTTACCGCAAATTTAAATAATCTTAAATAGCATCCAGTCCCTGTCTGAGCGGACTCGTGATGACGATCAGCTCATTCTTGGATTAGGTGCAATCCGCGTTAGATTCTTTTTTTTTATGTTAACGTGCAAACGACAAATTTAAATAATAATCTTAAATAGCATCTTGTACCTGTCTGAGCGGGCTCGTGATGACGATCAGCTCATTCGTGGATTAGGTACTTACTATCCGCGTTAGTAGTTTTCTTCCCTCTGATAATAGTTTTATTTTCTCTTTCACCATCAATTTAAATAACCTTAAATAGCATCCTGTCCCTGTCTGAGCGGGCTCGTGATGACGATCAGCTCATTCTTGGATTAGGTACTATCCGCGTTAGTTTTCTTTTTCCCTTTGTATTCTTTATTTTTTTTTTTTTTCGTGCATATTGCAAATTAAAGAAATGTTAAATAGCTTCATTACCCTGTCTGAGCGGGCTCATGATGACGATCAGCTCATTCTGGGATAATTGGCTACCCCGGGTATAAATTTATTTTTTCCCTTTCCGAATATTTATTATAAGTAGTTCTTTCACGATCCTGTCTCCTCGCACTCTCTGCGACCGTATAGATAATTTTTCCTTACCGACATTTTAGTTTAATTCCCGATGCGAGTTAAATAGTTAATTTTTGCTACGACCGCTCTTAGAATTTTCCCTTACCAAAATGAAAAATTATGTTTTAGTTTAATTACCGACTAAGTAGTCAAGTTAATTTTTCCTGCGACCGAAACACTTATTTTATTTGAATTCAATTTTGACGTCTGATTGAGACTAGTCGGGATTCAATACCGTCCGTTTTTTTTTGTTCAGAGTTATATTGACTATCATCGCAACGAGAGTGGGCGTTGAAATATATAATTTTTTTATTTTTAATGTGTAAATAGTTATTCACAATATATGTGTCAATGTAAACTTGCCGTATTACTGGTTACTAATTCCATACTTTATTTCCCCCTTGTATTTCTGCTAGTGATAAATTCTGTACCAGCCCAAGCAACGATTAAAGCCCGTTACTTGTGGCCTACCATTACCTGTGTCTAAGTGACCTTTGACCCCTAGAATTTTTCATCTCCATCTGTAGCTACCCGAGTACTTTCGACGCCGTTTCGAGAGTTTGTGGAGTAAACCATAACCAAAAATCTGGCGCTCGATAACCGCCCGTAACCAGCGCCATTCGTAAGGAAACGTTCATTTGATATTGTAATAAATAATTAAAACGGTTGTAATGTTTGGAATTTTTCAATGTCAATACTTTTTAGATAAAAACTTTTTTAAAATATTTTTGAATTATAGCTCCAATAGATATTTATCTTCCTGTATGAAAGTAATTTTTTAAAAATCGTCTTAGTTTGGACCGACGTGTATAGGATGCCCCACCCTGTATATGTTCTACAAATAGCTTTTATATTCGTTCCAATGTAACTGGTGTAATAATATTTATGATTGTATTATTAACTTTATCCATTAACTTGGTCTCGGACCATTGGACCCTGTCCTCTGGAGGGCATTAGTGGGGCCGTGTAACCAACATGTAAAGGTCTTTTGGTAAATGATACACCTGGCGGATAAAATCCTCATCTGCATCATATGATTTACTCGGATATTAAGTTTTTATATTACTAAGAATAAATAATTACAATTATTAGCCTGTAATAAACACTACAATAACAGAATTTAAGCACTAGCCTATCGTGCAATTAGTTACATTTAGGATGATATAACTTATCCTTATTTGGAAGGGGGGCAATTTCCCATACATTTCTTCCCATTGTCCTTTATAGTTATAAAATTTAGAAATATTTAGAAACATAAATAGATACCATAAAAAAATTTTAAAAATATTTTTTTACATTTAAACGACATTATTTACACTTATTAATAATCATGAATATGTTCATTATTTTCTTATTAAAAACTGTTACAAACTAGCTTAAATGGGTAATTTGTTATAATGTTCGAAGCATTTAAAAGATAAGGAATTTTATTTGTTATAATACGTTCGTTATTGTTATTTCTGGTAAAATTATAAAATATTTATGAATATTATTATTGTTAAAACTAATGTAAAGTAAAGTGGTAATAAGTTATTTATTATGTATATGACATTCAAACTAATCTTAAATTAAATAGCTTAAATAATATTGCCGACGTTCTAGATTTGACTCAACATAACTTTGTATTCAATGATTACAATAAGCTCTTATTGGTGTATTATAAACATTTCTGTTTGGTTGAAAAATCTTTATAACCTTTAGTAGAAAAAAATAAATATCATTCGGCTTTAGAAATTACTTGTAGAATAAACGGAAAAAAAAACAATATAAGAAAAATCTTGAATCCTCTTATACGAATTGCTACAATTTTCGTAAAGCAACTTTTTCTTTTTTGTATGAAATGTTATCTACTGTGACTCGCTAGATGACGTAGGTGACGCCCTGCTTCGCCAAAATTTAAGTAGAAATTAATAAAAAAAAAAAGTCAACTGAATAGCTAAATATTTCTTTTTCTGTAACAAAATGCCCTGCATTTTTGTCTCTATACAAATTGCAAAACAGAAACCTCCAAAACTGTACCTAATTTCGGGGTATCTGGCCCACTGCATGAAACAAACGAAAAAAACTATAAAAACATTTTAACCCATTTTATAATTTTATTGCACATATATCCTTTTTAAACATCAAAGAATTAAAATATGGGAATAAATAACACTGGAAATATATTACATGTAAACAACTAATTGGAAAACCATCCATTAAAAATTTATAGTTGGAAGTAAATATATTCTTTTTCTTTCGGCAAAACAAAGGGAAACGTATAAAAACACGTTTAACGGCAACCCAGGGACGGACCTAATTAGTTGTATGTTACGCTTTAAAAAGGAAATGTTATACGTATTTAAATATTATCACATTATTCGCATAATTTCCTTCTTCGATTATTTAATAAATATCACTTAATTTAGTTTTAAAGGCAACACTTCCAACCGTGTTAAAAACCCTGAATTTACAAACATAACATTACAGTCAGAAAATAATATCAAGATTTACGAAGTAAATCATATAAAATACTTGGGGGGGGAAATAGACAGACATCTTAAATGGGATGTGCATATAAAAGGCTTAGTAAAAAAGTTAAGATCTATTTTGTACAAATTTAAATGCATCAGAAAAATATTGGATAATACTCATTTAGAAATGGTGTATTATTCATTGATGTGCTCACATATCCAGTACGGAATTACAGCTTGGGGAGGCGCTTATAATAACCATATCAAACCTCTTGAAATTATCAAAAAAAAAAAAAATTTATTAAAATAATCTATAATCGAAACAATGATTATCCAACAACCTCTCTCTTTATAGAGAGTAAATTACTTGACATTAGACAAATTTATTTACAAAAAATAGTTACTTACCAACACAAAAAAAGACGCGAACTATTAGATATTCAACACGCACACAACACCCGGCATAAATTAAGAATGAAAACAAAAACAATAAAAGTTTACAAATCAGCAACCCAAAAAAGTTTGTTATATATAGCGCCTCATATATATCGCTTTGTGCCTGAAAAAATTAAAGAAATAAAAAATTCCAAAAGCTTTGGTAAAAATATTAAGTTTTGGTTAAAAAACTATCCGCTAAAAAAGTTTAAATATTTATTTGAATGAAAATTAATCCTGTCATCAATATTTTTGTTTGCACACTTTTTCTAATTACTTAAATAATTAATTTGATTTATTTGTATGTACATATTTAGGTAAGCTTAAAAAGATATATATTTTTAGTTTTTAGGAATATAATCTATTAAATTGTAATAATTAACTTTTCTTTTAAAAGAGAAGGAAAATATAGTTTTTTCCCACGTACTAGTCGTAAGACTTCAGTGGAGATATTTATTTTCCATCTTCATTTGGAAAAGATATGTATAAAAAAAAAATTTGTATGTAAATTGTAGAATTTGGGAAATAAAATTATTATTATTACTTACGAAATTGATTTGAAATAAATATTCACGACTTGTAATACAAATCGCCATGAAACTACGAGTATAATAATTCATCTACTATTTTATTTACTTAAAGTATTTTATTATTACATTGAATATAAAAATTAATGAAATATGTTGCTAAAAATGCTTGAACAACTATTATTAGTATCCTCTTATTATAAAAAATACCGTGGAATATATTAGTCTGACTTTAATTTTTAAAGTGATTGAAGCGTGCAAGCCTTCTCAACACGTCAAGGTGACATTCCTAGAAAAGGAAAATAGGAACAATACCATGTTCCTTTCCAAAATAACGCGAACCAACAGATACGTGGTTACATCTGAACTATCATCTTCACTTGACCTGTCATTCAGGTTTATAATGCAAGAATGAGTCTGAAATGTTCGATGGTTATTTTCAATTATGAAACACGAAGAACGCAATTGGAGCATAATTCTTGAGATGAATAAACTACCAACAAATTAACATTTTTGACTATAGAATTTGCAGGTAAAATATAACCTTTTCTTTGTGAAACACCCTGTATAGGTAAACAATAATGTAAATTGCCAAAGCCAACTTGAACGGTTTAAATTTTACAATTTATGTGGCTATTTAAATATCAATTTAGTTGTTTTTGAGGTGCAACAGATCCTATTTATTTAAAAAATAGTCAAATAAAATTATAATTATTTACATACCTTCAGGGATTACATTATTTTTATCACTTTGAAAGGGCCTCCAAAAAGCCGTTTTTTTTATAAACCAAAAATCCTATCAGTAATATAAATACAACACTGGTTAAACAAACTTTGTCCATTTATGTTCAGTCAACAGGACGATGACACATAGAATCGTGCCGAATAATCAATTCGAACATAAGTTGAACAAAATCACAAAATTACATTGGAAATCCCAGTCCACGTGTACGGGCATTTTTTACGGGCTATCGTGGGCTACAGTAAATAGAAATTTGAGAAAGGCTCGATTCAACCAATAGGAAACGCTACAATTAAGGTGTTATAATTAATCAAGCCGACAGATTCTCATCGTACTATTCGCTAAACGTACACAGTCGTTTAGCTGTAATAAAATTGAACGCATCACTTTATTTTTGCAGTTTGACAACTGTGTTTTCTAAGCTGAACTTCGGCGGTGTCTTTGTAAATTATATATAGATATAGATATATTAATAATACTGATATTTAATTGTGAAATAGTAAAATTTATCTGTGCCGTCTACTATACGCGCTTGACAAAATTTGTTTAGACTGAATAATTTGAAATCAATTTCATTCAAACACCTCACATTTTCAAGTTCCGTCAAAGTTTATTCTTGCTACAGGCTGATTAGGGTTAGCTTAGTATGGAGTAAATAATAATTACTAAAAAAATCTTTTTAATCTTAAAATAATTTTTAAATAATAAACATTAAATTATAAATTTTGAGGATTACTTAAAATCTAGGGGAAATCCTCTAGTCATTTTCCAAATAACCCCAGCAGTATCCTGGTGTCCTTGACTCATGGCTATCAAGTATGGATCGGGAGTGACTTTAATTGAAGCGTTCTTGAGCAGTAACCATCTGACTAAAGCCGTGTGCCCAAACATAGCTGCCATTTGCAATGGCGTTAGGTCCTTATCGTTTGGCTCGTCGACATTTGCTCCAGCATAGTATAATTCTCTGATGCAAGTGGCATTCTTGAATTGAGGAAACTTGATGTAATAGAATGTAGCCAGATAGAACGGCGATTCGTGCTTTTTAGATTTTAAAGTAATGTCTGCCCCTGTATATAAAAATATGTATTGGTTATTTGTATACTTTTTATTATAAAATTTAGCTACTTTTCATAAAAAATTAAGAAGATTCCATAGAAAAAATAGGTAAATATTCCGAAGACGTCTTATTCTTAAAAACAATATTTAATTCACGGTCCATCCTACTATCCGGAGGTGCGAATTTCACAAAAAAAAAATTAAACACTCAAAAAATACTAGTTTCTATAGTACATTTTTGTAAAAAAAATTAAGGATGAACCAGAACTTTTCGAAAAAATGAACCAAAAAACTCAATTTTACATTCACAAAACATTCATTCTAAGTGACAGATTGTGTCTTAAAAAATAACAACGTTGCCAAGTTGTTAATGAAATTATAAGTTTCAGGATTATTTTATAATCTATAAATTGCCAGATTATAAAAAATTGAAGTGATCAAAAATCATATATTTATGGTTTACTTACGATAATAATCGTACATAAAATGAAAACAATTAATTTCTGTAAATATTGGAAAGACGCCCTTTTCTTAAAATAGCTATTTGTGTATAAAGAGCAAAAAGTGATACTTTGCCGCTTGAGACAGAAAGCGACAATGACAATATTTTTTCTACGTTCACATTATTTTAAGGCCAAAAATTGTTGGTAAGTAATGTTGCCTATATCTACATTCATCATGAAAATAGCAATTGATATTCAAAGACCATGTTAACTTGGTTAATGAACAAAAAAACATGTAACTTACGTACAAATATCTCGAAAATCATTTATTAAAAATTATCAATATATTATACCTAATTTAAATTAGGCGAGCAACAAAACTGTCAATTTTGTCGCTCGCCAGGTGACAAATCTGTCACTTGATGACAGTTCGCGGGAAACGTCAACTTTGCTGTTGAATTTCGAAGCGCAAAAGCCTATTTTGGATAGTGATCGTAGAAAAATACAATTTTTTTACAAAACTTACATTTTGAGCTTTGGAAAGAGAGTAAGTACTATTTAAATATACCACTGGAAACCTCATAAATTAACGTTTTTCTAAAATTTTTATATATTAAGGACTTATGAGTATCATTAAAGGATCATTTATATAAACTTATTCATTAGAATTATATTTTTTATGTTCCGTCAATACAAATGAGCGATTTTTCCAACTGTCCAATTAAAATCAACGAAAAAGAAATATAAAAGAAGTACCACTTGCTTTTTGACATAATATTTCCAAACACTTTAAAGTGCAATACTTCTATTAATTTATTTCCAGTCACATCCGACCATTTTGATTGAATTGTTATAGTAATAATTAAATAATATTACATCATACATAAAGTATTAATCAATGTACTTTTCGAAAACTTTTAAAACATAATTACTTTGTGTTATCCAAAAGTTTTAAAACGTTTTTGAAACAAGGGAATTTATTTGTTTGACAAATGACGCCAGGCAGCCAAATTTAAGAACTTGTCAACTAAAGATGAAAGTTGAATTAGATCAATTTATTCTTGGTTAACTGTGACGTCACTCAGTGAATACTTTTAGTGTCCTCCTATTTAAGACGTACATCGATACCCCTTTTTTTTTAATTACGACGTTTAACCCTTTTTTATTTTTAAAATAAAAAGCATTTCAGATATTCAAAAGATCATTTTGACCTAGAAAGATAATTACATCTGAAAATTATAGGAGTATATAAATAGGTAAGTAGTTTATATAGTATGCCCATATTATCTAAACACTTTTTACACCTACACCATAAGAGCACGGTACGCTAACCCACTCACTTACTACAAAAGTGAGCGAGTGTGCACTTTTTATATCTTCACCATAAGAACAGGTTACGCTAACCGACCTACTTACTAATCGCTACAGAAGAGAGTGAACAAAGCGAGCGCACCCGGCCGACGTTTCGAAATTCGCGCGAATTTCGAAACGTCGGCCAGGCGCGCTGTTTTTACATTAACACAATATGAGCACGGTACGCTAACTCACCCACTTACTAAACACTACAGAAGAGAGCAAGCGAAGCGAGCGCACCTGGCCGGCACGTTTCGAAATTCGCGCGAATTTCGAAACATCGGCCGGGCGCGCCCCTTTTATACCTACACCATAAGAACAGGGTTCACCTACTTACTAGTCATGACATTTGCGTGAATTTCTAAACGTCGACCGGGCGTGCCCACCCACTTACTAAACACTACAGAAGAGAGCGAGCTAAGCGAGCGCGCATGGCCGACGTTTAGGGCGCGCCCTTTTTACTCCTACGCTAAGAGCGCACTACGCTCGTTCCACGTACATCCTGACCAGTATAAGAAAGAGCAAGCCTCGGAGCTAGCGAAGCAAACACACCATTTCTGGCGAAGTGAGCACCAGTGTTAATTACATCACCTTATTTACTTAGGGCCGATTCCACCGTTTTGTTAAACGAAGTTTAAATTACTAAGCGAAGTTTAAAATCACAGTTTTACATTAACAATGTCATTTTAATCTTCGCTTATTGATTTAACACAACAGTGGAATCGGCCCTTAGTTTACTTCCTCTTATTCCTTATACACATAGATTACGGTAATGTTGAATAGATGGAAAACTCAATGGTAAAATTCTGAGTGGTACTAAAATTCAATATGGCCACCACGAGCGGGCTTTTTGAAATTCAACTTTGTGATAGCTGGGCAAAAATGTAATGAAGAAAATCAAACAAAAAAAAAATAAATTGAAAAAATATTTGCTAGCTTCAAATCATAAAACAACCATATTGACTGTTTTGAGATTTGAAACTAGTCAAATATTTTGCCAATTTATATTTTTATTTCATTATATTTTTGCATTAATTTCAAACTCGAAATAAAATGCAATTTATTTTTTTTTATTACAGTAAATTAACGCCGTATCATATAAATTGTCTATCTAAACATGGAAATACTCAGACAAATATGCATTTACACTATTTAAGTAATTATTTATAAAACAAACCTATCAAAACAGTTTTCTCTAACAAAATCGGCATATATAAGTGCTCAAGACCTTTATAAAAGCATCATCCTTTTGGTGTCTTACTATCAAGGTGAATTTGAGTATGGATAAAATTTGACATACCCTTATTTAGTCGACTAATCAGGTTGAGAAGCATTTCCTCATCTGATAATTGTTTTATTGATTTATTTGTAGTTATCAAATTCTTATTCATCATCTGGGCACTGTGATAAATGAATTTTACTTTCGAGCTTAAATTAAACTTAACACATGTTTGGACCCTTGAAGATTTTGGGGAAAGTTTTCTTGTTTGGTGTCAATGGCATTAAATCAATTTTTGATACTGATATAGCTAAGGCTCAAATATTTCATCGATCTACAGAGTATTTTGAAGGGCCAACATTTTCATTACAACAATGATCATTTAAAAACTGAAAACAAAAATAAATTTAAATAACAAATATTTTAACACTTGATCAGAAACAAGTTTGTAAATATTACTCACCATTGGTGCCAGTGCAAGATGCATTTTTCTTAAGACACTTATTACAAATTGTTTGGTTATCCTTAATATGATGACCGCATATTTAATATGTGGTATAAATTGCATCACTACCAATATCTGGGAGTGCTTTATTGTTCGTTGCTGAAATCCATCTTTAATTTTTTTTGAAAATATGCTTAAAATTGGAAGGTGTTGAAAAATAAATCTAGATGGATCAAAATCCAATACACCTTCAAATACAACAGCTATTTTAATTTTTCTAATGCCGCGTTTGAATATCCACATCCAATGCATTTTTTACATCTCGAGCGTTTGTTTTTCCACATTGGACACATCTGTCCTACTACATTTACCTATACTGAATCACATGATCAAAGATTTATAACATCTCATATGCATCCGATGTGGATATTCAAACGCGGCAAAAGTTTGAAATTTTGACAAACTGACAACTGACATGACATTTCGATACGAGCGCCATCCCGTTAATTAGAGTGGTACCTTCCTACCTTCCTCATGTTTTTCCATTTAAGTTACCAGCCCCTGCTTATACACATGTCAAGTGTAATTTACTCCTGGTAAATAGTTGGTGGAGGAAATATCCACCAGTGAACACCACATCGCCGACTGGAAGGGGTAGAGGATTTTACACCGGTCCAAACGAAAGGTATAGTGTCCGTTGGTGTAGTTAATTCCTACACCAGTGGGCCGAACGAACGAATCTATTGTCTTATGTCTTCTGCAGTAGTTAGGAGGTGAGTAGGACAAACCGATAAATATAGTATTCGTAGTATGATGCTCTTATAGTGTAGATCAGCCACGTCAAACGTGCAGCCCGCGGACCACATGCGGCCCACTTAGCTTTTTTCTGCGGCCCAAATCAATTTTAAAAAATGCCAGATAATGCGGCCCGCGAGCGTATTAAATACCGTTTTTGAAAACGCGTGCGTTGTAAGAAAGAACTGTCGAGAAATCACACTCCGTATGTAAGCAAATAAACTCCTAATACGATCTCGTCACAAAAAGACAACTTAACTAGAGACAAAAGATGTCAATAATCTAGCAAAAGAAATTAATGTTGGTACTTTTTTAGTAATGTCCTTTTTATTGGAAATTTAATAAATATACTTGTTCTATAATAGTGCTTTTTCATTAAGATTTTCAGTAGTTTGTCTTGAAGATTAGGTTTTGCGGCCCACCTAGTCTACGGTAATAATGCTTTTGGCCCACCAGTGACTTTGAGTTTAACATGGCTGGTGTAGATGGAAAAAGAACGCTCGTTCACCAACTATGTTAGTAATTCCTTTCCGTTTTTTATAAACGTCCACAACAACAAGGATACTTTATATTTTAATTATTTTTATTATTAGTTATAAAAACAATTATTGTTATTCACAGAAAGCTATTAAATACAAACTTAGACATAACACATAGTGATTTTAAAACGTGGCAACGTTGCAAACTCAAGGACCGATAGACAAATCCATAAATTATTTTGTTTTATGTTTTGTGAAAGGAAATAATGATAAAAGTTAGGTTAAATGGTCAAAATGTTGCATTTAATTATAATCTAAATGAAAATATCAAATAAAAAATAATGTTCCTTACTTAGTTTTACTTAAATATTATAAAAAGTTAGTTACTTCAATAAACTAGTGCCAAAACTTCGAAATTCGAACCTCCAGATAGTAGAATGAAACCTTTTATTCAAAGTTTTAAACTCCTGGATGGACAATACTTAAAAGATATACTACTGGAAGAAAATTTCGTTTTCCGAATAAATACGCTGCTATCTCTTTATAATATTTCCAACAAAGTATGTTTTACGTGAACGCAAGCGAAACTTACCTCTTTTTAACATTACTTTCACCATTTGAGTATTTCCATTTGCACAAGCTACCAAAAACGGAGTGTAACCTCCGTCTGAAAAAGCATTTATATACTTAGGATAAAGCTCCACCATTCTCACGCAATTTACAATATCATTTTCTTCGACGATTTTGCATAAATTATTGACGATTTGATTTTCGTTTCTATAATGAAAGTATACTCTTATAGCGACGATTGTTATTAGGTAAGTTATAACCCCCAAACAGATCCATAATGTTATGATCATGTATATGTAAGAACTGCACCATTCAAACATATGAAATATGAAAAAATTGTGAAATTTTTCTAATATTTCTGATAGATACATCGTTGGCGTTTCACCTTAAAATGACAAAATGTCACAACTGTCACAACTAAAACAAAATGCTTTCAGAAATCGAAATTTCGAAATCATAGCTGTCTTTGATTTTAGAAACGGTATTTTAACTTTTATAGTCCAGTAAATTTCAATACACGTTTTCTTTAATGCTATTTTAATAGTCCAGTGAATGCAACGGTGATTTAACTTTCATAGTCCATTAAATTTCGGCACACGTTTTCTTTAATGCCATTTTAATAGTCCAGTGAATGCAACGGTGATTTAACTTTTACAGTCCAGTAAATTTCGGCACACGTTTTCTTAATGTCATTTTAAGAGTTCAGTGAATGCAACGGTGATTTAACTTTTATAGTCCAGTAAATTTCGGCACACGTTTTCTTCAATGCCATTTTAATAGTCCAGTGAATGCAACGGTGATTTAACTTTTACAGTCCAGTAAATTTCGGCACACGTTTTCTTTAATACTATTGTAATAGTCCCGTGAATGCAACGATGATTTAACTTTTATAGTCCAGTAAATTTTGGCACACGTTTTCTTTAATGTCATTTTAAGAGTTCAGTGAATGCAACGGTGATTTAACTTTTATAGTCCAGTAAATTTCGATACACGTTTCCTTTAATAGTCCAGTGAATGCAACGGTGATTTAACTTTTATAGTCCAGTAAATTTCGATACATGTTTTCTTTAATAGTCCAGTGAATGCAACGGTGATTTAACTTTTATAGTCCAGTAAATTTCGATACGTTTCCTTTAATAGTCCAGTGAATGCAACGGTGATTTAACTTTTATAGTCCAGTAAATTTCGATCCACGTTTTCTTTAATGCTATTTTAATAGCCCAGTGAATGCAACGCTGATTTAACTTTTATAGTCCAGTAAATTTCGGTACACGTTTTCTTTAATGCCATTTTAATAGTCCAGTGAATGCAACGGTGACTTAACTTTTATGGTCCAGTATATTTCGGCACACGTTTTCTTTAATGCCATTTTAATAGTTCAGTGAATACAAGGGTGATTTAACTTTTATAGTTCAGTAAATTTCGGCACTCGTTTTCTTTAATACTATTTTAATAGTCCAGTGAATGCAACGGTGATTTAACTTTTATAGTCCAGTAAATTTCGATACACGTTTTCTTTAATTCTATTTTAATAGTCCAGTACATGCAACGTTGGTTTAACTTTTATAGTCCAGTAAATTTCGATACACGTTTTCTTTAATGCTATTTTAATAGTCCAGTGAATGCACAGTGATTTAACTTTTATAATCCAGTACATTTTGGGCACACGTTTAATACTATTTTAATAGTCCAGTGAATTCAACGGTGATTTAACTTTTATAGTCCAGTAAATTTCGATACACGTTTTCTTTAATTCTAATAGTCCAGTGACTGCAACGGTGATTTAACTTTTATAGTCCAGTAAATTTCGACACACGTTTTCTTTAATCTTATTTTAATAGTTCAGTGAATGCAACCGGTGATTTAACTTTTATTGTTCAGTAAATTTCGGCACACGTTTTCTTTAATACTATTTTAATAGTTCAGTGAATGCAACGGTGATTTAACTTTCATAGTCCAGTAAATTTCGATACACGTTTTCTTTAATACTATTTTAATAGTCCAGTGAATGCAGCGGTGATTTAACTTTTATAGTCCAGTAAATTTCGATACACGTTTTCTTTAATACTATTTTAATAGTCCAGTGAATGCAGCGGTGATTTAACTTTTATAGTCCAGTAAATTTCGATACACATTTTCTTTAATGCTATTTTAATAGTCCAGTGAATGCAACGCTGATTTAACTTTTAAAGCCCAGTAAATTTCGGCACACGTTTTATTTAATGCTATTTTAATAGTCCAGTGAATGCAATGCTGATTTAACTTTTAAAGCCCAGTAAATTTCGGCACACGTTTTATTTAATGCTATTTTAATAGTCCAGTGAATGGGTACATTTTCTGGGGACTTTTCCATTTAAGATTTTAATCGAGAAACGTTGTTTTAGGTGTCGTGGTATGATACTTATAGAGACATATTCCGCTCTGGACGACCAACAACTTTTGAAAACTCTACCAGGGTTTTTGAATATCAAGAAAGAGGTTACTGGAAATCCTGACTATTCTATGTACAATTTGTCGTTACGGGAAGACTGGAAAACATCTAAAAAGTTTTGCAGATCCGTTACAGGTTAGTATTAAATTGTTTTTTTTTTTTTTTAATTTTCTAACTTGTAACATGAAAATGAGTGTTTTTGTTTTTATATAAAAAAATAGGATCATGTTTGGTTTCTATGCGGCGACTGTTCAATTGTGGTGTTCAACCAAGGGATATACGTATAAATTGAATATCTTTAAAATAATTAAAATGGAAAATAATTCCTACTCAAATGTAATCAAGACGTAAAATAAAATAAATAAAACTGAAAGCCAGTAATCACCTAATACGAGCAACCGTTTCCCTTTAGAAAACAACTACTCTTTTTGCCAATACCAACAGGTATTGAATTATATCCAAGGGAAAGACAGCTCACTAAGGAGAACGTCATTTTTGTACCGGTTTCGTCCTTATTAGGACTCTTCAGCAAGAGATAGATAAGTTCTCAATTCCACTCTCTAATGGGATTAACAAATGCTACACATTTCACTAGTATACAATAATGTTAGTTACGAAGAGAATAAGAATTCAAGTAGTGAAATGGTGTCGCCATCTGTTCCTAGTAAGCAAAATTAAAGGCCGCTAGTAGTGTTTAAATCTATTCATGAGACGACCATGGCGAAGGGACCCTGCACGTTTTCATGGTGATACGTCCGTCAGTAAAAAAAAAATTAATCAAAAATTTGAAAAATTTCACGTCAAAAATAATATTTTGTAAAACGTTAAAAAATATCATATCTAAAGGTCCTTCGAGTATTTAAAATTTTGCTTTCACGTAATCAAGTAGTACTCATTTAGAAAATTAGGTGGAACTAAAAAGCCAGGCTGGCAATTTATAAAAAGGAAAATAAGTCTAGTATTGAAATTTAACTTCTATCTCTGCTGTCTTTCCTTTGAATATAATTATTATTATTATGTGATACTGACTTCGAGTTTTATTTTCAAAATAATTAGTTTAGTTTATCTTGATATTTTTTCTGACAGTTAACCAACCTTGTTTTTACAAATTATTATGTTGCCTGGTAACTTTTCTCTTCCATATATTACCTTTGATGTACATATTTTACAGGGTGTTAGTATATTCGACCGAGAAAGGTCTACCCCAGAGAGCTTTCGTTAATTGATGAATTTTCATATAGGAACATAAACCCTTAAAGGGCTAGATCATAGAAATACAGGGCGTTAAAAGTTTGAAATCAAAATTTAAAATTTGCCATAAATCAAAAACGCCTTTAAATATTTTTTCAAATTTGGTGACCAATATTCTCTTTGAAAAAGTAATATTTTGACATAAACTAACTTTTTGAAAATGTTATCAGTGGCCAGCGGCGTAGCCAAACATTTTTCATGGAAGGGTTCTGAGGACTATGGGGGGGGGGGGGGGGGGTTAACAAACAGTTAATAGCGATCAGCGCTAATAAGATAGCGAAAACGGTGACGCGAAGGTCCTCCAAGGGGGGGGGGGGGGGGTATTTCGACCCCCCGTGGTTACGCCACTGGCAGTGGCGCGCTATCAAGGTTAGTGGCAATATTTGTAACGACTCATTAGCCCTTTACTGTGCATTGCCGACTAAAAGGACACCTTAGTAAACTGATAGTGAGTGTAGATTCTGTGAGGAGAAGGAGGACGAAACCTCCATTCATATTCTAACTGAATGTGTAGCACTCCAGAATCCAAGGGCACTATATCTAGGAGGATATCAAATAGAAGAGGGAGATTTACCTAACTTGAAGTCACTCCGAATCCTACACTTCCTTGAGAAGATAGGATTGGAAGGGTCGTTATAGGCATTGAGACATTTCCTTGCTGCATTAGCGACAGAAGGGGCACAATATGTCTTTTAGGTCGCACTGTATTAACACCCCATTCCCAACATAACATAACGACTCAATATGTCTAAAATCTAATTTAGCAAGCACGTGTCAAATTTTTATTAGGTTGTGTATTTGGCAAGATCGTGCTAGATTAACTTTGAAAAAAAATATTTATGACATATTTGAATGTTCCTCTATCAAGTTAAATAAACTTTCATGCTGTGTTTTTTCCCAATTACTGTTAAATTTATTTAAGTCTTACTTTTCCGACAGAAAACAATATGTTCAGATTAACGGTTTCAATCGACTCAATATCTAGAAACTTCCGGTGTTCCTCAAGGTTCTAATTTAGGTCCTTTGTTATTTAACATATTTATAAATGATATAAGCAATATTTTAGATACAGATATAAACTTTCTTCTATACACCGATGATTTAAAGTTGTTCTGCCGTGTCGAAACGGTTGAGGACTGTGAAAGGCTTTCAGATAATATGCGACGTGTTGAGGAGTGGTGTCTTAATAACAACCTTCTCCTTAACTCCTCTAAATGTTTTGTAATGTCTTATACCTTGAATCAATTCCCTTTAACTTTTAACTATAGCGTTAACAAAGACTGTTTACCATCACAGATCTTGGAATTACATTTGATCAGGAACACCCGTACATTTTACTTGAATACACCCAGAACAAATGTTCTCTTAAAATCACCTATATACATACACCATGTGTAATAATTATGAATCAGTAAATTGCCAGCTTGATTTGTTTTATAGTTCAATTCATAATATTAGATGTTATTTCTATAATAATGTTCTATGAAATCTTTAGTTTTGCATATATTCATGAAATGCCAGAAAAATAATTATCTTAGCTTTTTTTCTCATCTGATGTTCAATCAATTGGTATATTATAGGTCTGTTCGAACAACAATCAGAAACCAGTCACTGACACCAGGATTCTGCGCAGTATACAGTTTGGCGGTCGAAATAATCAACTGCGCAGAATCCTGGTGTCAGTGACTGGTTTCTGATCGTTGTTGGAACAGACCTTATTTCTAAATTAATTGTATTTATATATTCTTGTACTCTTACTCTGTAATTGGGTCTTGATCTGTTGAGTAATGAAGTAATAAATAAATATCAATATTCATCAATTAACGAGAGCTCTCTGTAGTAGAGCATTGTCGGTCCAATATACTAGCACCCTGTATATCTACAATAAAATAAGGGATAATGCATTAACTTATTCATTGGGAAAAGGACTTAGTTAACTGTGGATGGAGGCCACAGAGGTGCTTTAAAATTATCCATAGTTAATGATTCTTTCGAACTTTATAATCGAGGTACAAGATGTTTTATCAATTTTGAATATTTATTTCATGACTCAGGACTTACCGAATCTACAACTAAGGTATCCATAAGAAACGAAATCAAGTCCGTCTGTACAAAAATTTTATGAATTCGTCCATCCTTAAAACAACACCCAGTACATCTGAATTCCGTCATTCATTAAACATAATGTCGCTGGTGTCATTTTAATACCTAGTAAAATCAAAAATCACATTTTGCATGAGGAGCTCAAAATCACTGTGTGCTTAATACAAAATTCGTGTCCAAGGTATTATGAAAGTTTAATTTATATAGTTTTGAATATTTTACTGGGCTACGAGATTTTCTGTAACGATGCATATGGGTAATCGCGACATTTTGGGGAAAGTGATGGTTACAAGGTATTAGAATGACACCGACAATATACAGACCTGCTCTCATCTGATCCGAACATAGGAAAAACAAGTTGATTTGACTTTTGTCTCACTGACATACCAACAACAGCTGGCCGCGTACTTTCTCTATTATCAATTTAGCGTCAATAGCAATGTTTTGACTGTGTGGCGTATTATCGAAAAATGGCTAGTATTGAATTGATCTTAATTTTCTGTATGTTAGCTTTTACCATAGCAGATCTGCTGTTCTGGTATTATTTAAATCTAGAATTAACTTGTCTCCTCTTTGGCGTATATTATAGTTTTTATATCAGAATCATTACTAATTTAATATCAGACTTCAATTTTGCCTAATTATTCTTTTAGATTTTCGAAGACTATACAATTGGTACATTGCTTCTTTACACGTGCGCCATACCTAATATGCATACGAGAAAGTCAAGAAATAGCCAAAACAATGTTTGTCCTGAAACAACGAAAATTCGAGGAATTTGTAGGTCCTGTTTAATTTTAGTAGAAGACATTTGGAATTTTGTTGCGAAAGAAAGGCAAACATGGTCCTACTTAAAAATTGTTTGTAAATGACGATAACTTATACTTCTTTGTTTAACAGATTCGGACTTTTCTAAGTACCCCAGCGATCAGGACCATGGAGAAAGATTGAAACATCTGTACAAGAATATAAATCATGGAAATTTAAACGGAAAAGCAATGAATGGCAAAGCTTAAGTGTGATTTTATTTATTAGTATTTTACCTTCATCTTTAAAGTACATTAAGTTACTTTTTTGTTTGTTACTTATTCTTTACTAGGGTTCCTATATTTAAAAAAAAAAAAATAGATCAGTGATTTATAACTCGATCTCTTTTTTGCACTTGTAAGTTTAAACAATCAATTGTAGAAACAGTATTGCAAGTTATTTTGCCGTTTAACTTATACTAAAATAATTAATATGTACCTGCTTAATAAAAAAAAGTGAAATTGTCGATTTAGATTATACATACAGAAATATTTTACTTACTTGTAGATGTGGTCTTTAACGATCTTTTTTTATTGGTAGTTAAATCTTTATGAACAACTGGACTTAATTTCACCAGTTTTTTCTTTTTGTCTAAGATTTGCTCGTAATTAAATAATAACACTGATATTTTTGTAAACGTTGTTGAATCGATATTGTAAATATTTTATAAAAAATATATCTCTTGAATATATTCCTAATATTTTTTATACCAGCAAGCGTCTTTTAAACAAAATAGCATCGTATTTTACTAGAGGCGTATTTCACGTTTCCTAGAATTTTTATACTTTTGATTATTAAAAATAATTATGTTGAAACTTGAATCGGTAATTTAATATCGATCTGACTGCGTTATCATTATTCGCTATTATGATTATGAAACGGTGTCTTAAATTGAATATTTTCGCCCTACATATATTATTTCATACAATAAGAATCATAACAAAACAACTACGTTTGTCAAACATTGTTCTGTGACGCCACTGGAACATAATGTGTGTAATTTTTTCACACAATTTGTGTATTTCAAAACAATATAGAAATGAATGCATGAAAAAAAAAACAAACCATTAATGTCTGAACTTTAATTTAGAAATGTTTTCGTAAAGTCTATTTTTTTGTTTTTTACCACAATCTAATCAGAAAAACCAAATATTGAACTGATGGCAGCAATGTCGTTGAATAAAAAGGCAGCATTGTTAGTTCATCATTGATAGATTGATGAAAAAAGGCAGAAAGATACAGCACCAATTCCAACATTGCTACAACAACTTTGAGTAAAAAGATATACATGTATATTATCTGTAGGGGCTAGCGGAATAAGGCGTATTTGTAATAACGTAAAAAATGAGCCAAACAAAGTTGTTTATGCACTAAGTTTACAAAGTGCCTAGTTTTTAACTTATATTATTTCAGTGATTTTAAGTCTAGGAATATTTGTAAGAAGATAACATTAGTTATATAATCATTTAGTAAAATAATAAATGCAGTGTTAAAGTAAAACAAATAATGATTGAGAGTAGAAATAAGCCCAGTTGATGGCAAATTTTTGAGAGGGTTAAGAATGAACCAAAAATACTTAGTAGAATTATTTATTTAAAATAATCACAAATTTTTTATTTATTTCATAAAAACTTTGCAATATCGTAATTTACCTAATCGTTGTAGTAATTAGTTGGGTTTTATGAAAACGGAGTAGGGTAACATGGGGTTAACTGAACCATCTGATGGAAATATTTAAATTGATATTCCGGTATGAAAGCTTAGACCAAAATTTTGTCTAGGGCATATAATTTGATCATATAACAATGGAAAAAAAATACAGCTGACACACAGTTTATTGAAAGAAGCCTATTTTTTTTTTATTTTTTGCATTCCTGCAATATGGTTCAGTTAACCCCATGTGCAGGTTAACTGAAACATATGGGTAGGTTAATTGAACATATGGGTAGTTTAATTGAACATAATATGGGTAGTTTAATTGAACATATCTTTAAAATAATAATGAAACTTACATAAGGAAAAATGTATTAGCTAAAATATCAGAAAATTTTAAAAAACTGAAATTTAAATCACTGAAATCAATGGAAAATGATGTCATGTTTGCAAAGCGAGCGCTGCTACTTTTTATTGGAGGTTGTAATTTCAAAACATCTTCTTTGGATACGAAACCCATTTCATTTTCATCTATAAATTTGTTGGTTGAGTTATAACGTTTCAGAAAAGTTACGTCGTAACCATTGGGCATTTGCTTACGAACTTTAGCAACATAATGTCGAAAGTTTATAGCAGTTTTTCCAAAAACTTTTACTATAATATAGTCTCCCTCTAAAACATCACTGGATATCTCATTGTGAATCTGAACTTTCGTGATAACTTATATTTTCTTCGCTGGCAGAGGAGCTAGATTCCAAAATACGTTTCGTTACTGCTTGTCTTTTGGTTTCATTTACTTTTTGTTGTTTATTTTTCTTATCTTCACGATTTTTAGCCTCTTCTTCTACTTTCTTTGATGGGAGTGTTGGTTAGAATCAAGGATTTTCCTATCTTACGCCTAGTTGCCATTTTTCTTGGAGCAGCTTTTGGAAAGGGACGAATTTGTTGAGGTGTTATTAGTTTAGAAGTTCCAGGACACTGTTCGTTTTGGTTTAAGTTTAATTTCTCGTTTGAAAGACCAAGTGTTGGTTCTATTGTACTGACGGTTTGGCAGGTATTTCTTCCGTTTGGGGTTGGGATAATTGACATTGATCTGTCTCACATACGATGATAAAAAAGCCTCTTCAGAAAAAATGTCGGCATTAAATGGTTCTATGCCGGTGGCCCTGAAACCACTGCAAATATTTTTCGGAGTAAAAGACTGTAGGAAAGCTTCTCCTACGAGACCACCGACTTCATATATTGTAATCGTCTTTCCAGGATGATTTACCATCCACCTGTCACAAGCATTATTATAAAACTTTTTAAATGGACCGAAAACTGCAACGTCAAGAAGTTGAAGCTTGTGGCTGCAGTGTGGGGGCATTATTTGTTTAATTTTAGATGTAGACATTTTATTTTTACGATTTTCAATATTGTATTCATCTAAAAGCAAATCATTGCAATAATTACATTAAACATAATTAAAACTACTTTTTTTACATTTCAAATCACAATCAGTGACATAATGGTTTGTTTTTGTTTGATTCACTGACGTCACACTAATGAGTAAATGCCATATTGAACTGTCAGTGATGGGTAAAAAAAAACAGAAAATATCTTGTATTAACAAAATTGTCTAAACCATATTCTGTATTTTTTTACTCTTAAAGAGTTGTAATGTATATTTAATAATCACATTAGCTAAGAATGGAAGCTCGGCAGTCAGGTTGTTAGACTGAGTGTCGCATCTATAACATCTTTTAAAGAGCAAATTTTAGATACGTACTCATTAAATAAATAAAATGTATCTATCGATAGAGTACTTAAGTTGATCGATGTACTAGATAGTAATTGCTAGAGATTTTTAAATTTTTAGCTTATTATTTTCAGTTAATAGTTTCGATCATTGCAAAGCAGCAGGATTGATTGATTGATTAAAGATCTGGTTAAAGATAAAGGTTTTTCTGTGTCAATTTATATCAACTGTGTACTTATCAACAACAGACCACCTGTCTATAATCACAGGTTTATATATGTAAAAAATACCAAATAAAAGTTTGAGAAAATATTTAATTTGTCTTGGATTTAGAACCCATTTATTTATAAACCATTTGTTAAAAATAATATACAGGGTGCCAGGCAAAAGCGCACCAAAGCCATTATCAGGAACTGCAACAATAATTTAAACAAACGTTTAAACCTGTCAATTTTTGATTAAAGGGAGACATCTTTCTGTCAGATCTTCAAATATCATGTCATTCCCCTGCGTCGCTCTAATACAATTTAAATAGAGAAGTACCAAGTATGATATCATTAAAAAGCTAATTTTATGGAGAATTCACTCACCTTCATATTAAACTAGATGGGCTATCCTAGTAATATATAAATGTGAAAGTTTGGATGGATGGATGTTTGTTGCTCAATCATGTCAGAAGGGCTGAACGGATCTGGATGAAATTTGGCACAAATATATTCAGGAATATCACATAATGCTACTTTATATCTCGGAAAATGTAGGGTTCCCGTGGGATAGATTTGTTTTTCACAGAGCAAGGGATCATAGTCCAAGAGCCCACTGCAAATTTCGACCGTCATCTGATAACGAAATGAAATATGCTTCAGAGGCATGTACAAATATTGTACTTTACCAAACGGTACCTGTGCCTATCACTATCCTGAGCAAAATAGTTAAAACAATGGCACTTCCGGTGTCATAATTAGCGAGAAATGTCGTCATTTGATAACGAGATAAGACTTATGACATCGGATAGCTATTGATTAATAGAACTTAAAAATGTACCTGTGCCACCTCTTTTCCTGAGCCAAATGCTTGGCACGGCCTATTTATTCACCCAAAATTATCGACAAACTTCCGTCATGTGATAACGAGTTAAGACAATATGCATTCGAATGGGCATAATGTCTTATTCAGGAATATCCGCATGTGCCACGTTTTAACCTGAGCTAAGTTGCTGGCACAGCGTAATTTCTGAGACGCGCCTCTCCCTACTAATTTATTTCATGTATACAAAAAATCACATGAGCCATGACAACGAAAATTATTTGTATTGAAAATTACAATCCTAATAATTAATTGTAAACTTATTACTGAAGCCTTGGTTTGTATCATAATTTTAAAGGCTTTTTAACAGACTTAAAATAATAGGAGGAGATACTCATATCGTTAGAATATTTTATTTTTTTGTATGTTCACTTATAAATCTATACCACGTTGTCCGATTTCTATGATTATTTTTTTGTTAGAAAAGGGGACACCGGGTTAGTCATATATAAATTTGGTCAACATCTGATTATAGGATACACGAGAAAATAATTAAATTCTTCGAATAACAAAGAAAGGTTTTTAAAATTACTTTTAGTAATATACAGGTTTATTATTTAACAGAATATATTTTCGGGTATTTATTTAGATATATTTTATTACTTTTTATATTTATAAAAAGGTGTAACTACAAATTGAAAATAGAATTCAATATGACGATGATAAATAAAGTTATATTCGGAAGTTTCCCAGAAAATGTATTAAAGGTATACTTACTAAGGATTGTTGAGTTATTTATTTTTAAGTACACCCATGAAAAAATTAAATAAATATGCATACACAAACAATTTATCAATATTAAAATACATTATTATTAAAAAAAAATCCAGGTCGCAACAAAAAAAATTACATCTAATCCTTTCCAACAATTTTAACATTTACTCATCATCTAAATCTGAAAAAACATCATTTAAATCATTCAAATAATTTAACTCATTCAACTCGTCGTTATCGACAATATTTTTAATATATTTTAAGACACCATCGACTTTCAATGGCGGCAAAGAAATTTCGTCAATTACCAATGCTTCTCCATTATCAAAAACAGAGCTGACAATTCATAATGCATACCGGGAATTAATAGTCTAGGTGTAGATAAAGTTAAAAAGCAATTATTTAAGTACAATGTGTTAACTCATGCTCTATCGTCTGAATATTCCAAAATAACGAATAATTCTGAAAAATTAACTTTTAAAAAGCAAGAGGATGGAGAAGTTAAGGTTATGTTTTTAAAACAAATAGCCGATAATGGTACGAAATTCATATCGGATGAAGATGATGTATCTTACATTTCAAACGAACAAATCTTGGAAATTCTTGAAAAACCTACAATAAAATTAAACAGCTATCAAATTTATTATGAGTTTAAAAGACCCATCGATGTTTTTGAAATCTAGTTCAACTATTTTAATGTTATCTAGATATATCTCTGTTATCTTCTAGATACTATTTACTTTTTAGTTTGTTCCTATTTTTTTACGATTGTTTATTTATATCAAAGTTTTTTAAGTTTAATTACCATTAGAGTATTTTGTAAACTTACTGAGTTTTTTTACATTTTGATAATTTTAGAAAAAAGTTCTTTGTGTGTTTTGCTTATTATTTTTCCTATTTATTACCTTCCTGTTCACTGTATTACAAACAGTCCATTGAGTTACTTTATTTAATAATGTCTAAAATAAAATTAATTAACTAGAAGTAATAAAACGCACTTCAATATCTCTAATAGCATTAAGAATAATGTCCTAAAATTATTATATGTAAAATATTTACACTAATGGTTCCATTTTAAACAAATATAGACTCTATTTTTAAGAAAAAGTAACAAAGTGGACATAAAAGTTGAAAAAAATAAAAAAAAGGTATCTGTCACTATATCATTTTATTACTTTTAATCACCATGGATTATCGGTGTCTTGATCAAAACTTAAAATATGTACTATTTGTCTTAGACCGGGTAGATATTTTTGACGAGTTTCATAAAAGCAGGATTTATTTTTGTACGCATTGACAAAAAAATTCCAAAAAACTCATTTAAAAATCAAAAAGTGCGCTGCTAATAATAGGTTCCTTGATTTAAATATATTAGGATAATATTTTAATAATCAAAACATTCATAATATGAAATAATAAAAATCGGTATCGATTTTACCTAAAGAGGTGGTTTTCTGAAAATGACCCATTAAGTATTGAAGCATGCACACGACCATTCATTTACAAACACCCATTACTATTTATTGATGCACATAATTTTTTCTTCCAGTTCGAATGTGAAACGCCAATTGTAACCCCATTCATCACTAGTAGACGTATTTTGCTATTTATAATCCTTAAAAATATTTTATACTTACATCCATTTTGAACATATTATCGAATTCATCCTTGTACTTCTTTTTCAAAACCATGAACTTGGCTTTGCACTCTGGGTGATAACCAACATTTTCCGCTATTTCACGGGATAACTTTACATCTTTGTATTTAAATTTTTTTATTTGACGAAAATGTAACATATTTAAACATTTTTCGAGTACATCACTTTAAAAGGGAAACACTTTTTTCCCTTTTACATCGCATAAAAAACATCTATTCATGAATAATAAGAACTATTAACAAAATGAATCAATTAATTTTTGATAATTTCAAGATTTATTTGTTTACTTAATATTGTGATTCATTTTTACAGGTTGTCATAGAAACGTCAAAAAAACTGCATACTATGATTATAGTTTAAAAGACAAAATTTAATATTTCAGGTATAAAAATTAATGCTGTACCTATTTAATTCTATTTTACAATAGTTTACTTGCTTAGACGGATAAAAATAGTAATCAAATTTATCTAAATAAATACCTATTAAGTTATTTTGGTAAATAATAAACCTGTATATTGATAATTATTAACATGTTATAGAAGTAATTTTAAAAACAAACTCCTCGTACAGTTGCCTTTGCAAATTAAAGAGTTTGATAATTTTGTCGTGTATCCCATCATCAGACCTTGACCACATTTATAAGTGACCACCACTGAGGTACCCTCTTTCTAACAAAAAAAGAATCATGGAAATCAAACAACGTGGTATAGAAAGATTTATCGTTGAACGTACATAAAAAAATTACATTCCGACGATTTGAGAACCTTCTTCTTATTTTTAAGTCTGTAAAAAAGTATATAAAATTGGAATACAAATCGAGAATTCACTAATAGGTTCTAAATTAATTAGGATTGTAATTTTCAATACAAATAATTTTCGTTGTCATGGCTTATATGATTTTTTGTATATATGAAATAAATTAGTTGAGAGAGGCGCGTCTCAGAAATTACGCTGTGCCAGCAACTTAGCTCAGGTTAAAACGTGGCACATGCGGATATTCCTGAATGGGACATTATGCCCATTCGAATGCATTTTGTTTTAACTCGTTATCACATGACGGAAATTTGTCGATAATTTTGGGTGAATAAATAGGCCGTGCCAAGCATTTGGCTCAGGAAAAGAGGTGGCAAGGTACATTTTTAAGTTCTATTAATCAATGGCTATCCGATGGCATAAGTCTCTTCTCGTTATCAAATGACGACATTTCTCGCTAATTATGACACCGGAAGTGCCATTGTTTTAACTATTTTGCTCAGGATAGTGATAGGCACAGGTACCGTTTGGTAAAGTACAATATTTTTACATGCCTCTGAAGCATATTTCATTTCGTTATCAGATGACGGCCGAAATTTGCAGTGGGCTCTTCTACTATCATGATTTTTTTGCAAAGTGGTAGTGAAACATGAAAATTTGAAATGCAGCTAATGAGCATAGATAAATAATGACGTGTTTTAGGGTTTTTGGATTTTCACATTTTAAGGGGGGAAATGGGTGTTAAAAGTTTGTATTGAAACATCGATATTTTTAAAGGTAGGAACTTGAAAATTGGAACTATATCACAAATAAAGGCGTTTTTCAGGGTTTTTGAATTTTCATATTTTAAGAGAGGAAAGGAGACAAACTGAGTAAAGGGGGGAAAAAGGGAGGAAAGAGGGAAAGGGAGGATGAAAGTTTGTATGGGGGTATCGATTTTTTAATGGTAGGAATTTAAAAATTGTAATTGTATCTACTTATAAATAAATAGATATGTTACAGGGTATTTGGATTTTTACATATTAAGGGGGTTACGGGAGGTGAAAGTTGGTAAGAGACTTTCGGTTTTTTATAATAATAATAACAGGACTTTATTCATCAC